TCCCCATGGCCTCCCCTCCCCTTCCCATGGCCTTGCAGGAAATTAAGGTGTATGGGAAAGAAAATGAAAGCAAGATTCTACTACATACACCAAACTTGTAATCCTGATTTACAGAAAAATGACAAAAACCTTCTGAATTTAAGCACAGGGGAAAAAAGCATGACTGTTTCTGGTTTCATCAGGCTCATTGCTGAAGATAAAAGATGATGCTAGAAACATGTTTTGCACCAGGAAGATTACTTTCTGGTGGATGTGGGATTTAGGTGCCTTTGGAAATTCCTAGAGGTCAATACTCTGCATGCTAGGGGCACGTGAAATCTACAAACTCTAGAACGACCGGAGTGCACTTTTCCTTAATAGTAAGATATTATCAGGACAAAGATGTACTTTTTTGTTACAACAAAAAAAAGATGATTTGCAGAATTGAATCCAGTATACTAGCAAGGCTAAGAACATTCAGTAGCTGGGAATTGTAAGACTTTGAGCATCTTGCCATTAACTAAAACAATTTTTTATCTATTGAATTAAACCCAGGTAAAAATGTCTGCAAATCAGTCAGCCATGGCTGTGAGCACATTTGTGTTAATGCTGACAGTTCCTACATCTGCAAGTGTCGCGAGGGATTTGTATTGAGAGAAGACGGCAAGACGTGCAGAAGTGAGTGCCCAGTATCTATTGACCATTTTTGTGTGTGCATAGGACAGGAAATAAAGGGTTTTTTCACTTGTTACCAGAAAAAAAAAACAAACCAACAACCAAAACCAAACCCTACCTTTCCTTTTGATAGCTACGTTTTTTTAACATGTTTTTATTCAAAACTTACACGAATCATTCCCAGGACAGGACATCTGCAAATCAGTCAACCATGGCTGTGAGCATATTTGTGTTGATGAAGACAACTCATATGTTTGCAAGTGTCATGATGGTTTTCTGCTGAGAGAAGATGGGAAAACATGCAGAAGTAAGTACTCTGGCAATTACTCAGACTTGTATCTACAGTATGTAGATCTGTGTAAGTGTTCTCACAAATGCAACAACACCAGTGTACTGTTATGATATAGGAGTAGTATTGTTATACCTGCCAAAAGCTTGTAAGAGACTGTGGACAGAAATTATGTGTTTTAATAGCCAGACTGGAGACAAAAAAGAAGACAGCTTTTCAGGTGCAAGAGTTAGAAATGTTTGCCGCCTGCGTTCTTGCCCATTTCTTCCGATGATATCAGTAGTGGTGATAAAAGCTATTACTTTTCCCTGTATGACACAGCTGTTGTAGGTGTGCTTTAACCAAGTATCATCACCTTTTCTCAGATAAAGACATTTGCAGCTCAGTTGACCATGGCTGTGAACATGTTTGTGTTAATACTGATGAGTCATACATCTGCCAGTGTTATGAGGGGTTTGCATTAAGAGAAGATGAAAAAACATGTAGAAGTAAGTATCCTTTAGTAGAAGATTTCTCATATAATCTGTGCATTTGTAGACGTGTTTTAAATACCAACAACCTTATCCTTTTTCCAGATAAAGATGTTTGCAATTCTGTTGACCACGGCTGTGAGCATGTTTGTGTCAATACTGATAGTTCATACATTTGCCAGTGCTATGAGGGTTTTGTGTTGAGGGAAGACAAGAAAACGTGTAAAAGTAAGTTATTTTATTTTACTGTATTTTTTACACTCAGAGGTCTAGAAGAAACATACTGTGGTAGAGGTAGGTCTTCTCAGGGGGCATTTTGCCTGACAAAAAGGAGGATAAATTCTTTATTTAATAGAAGCTTATTACTTTTAGTCTTTAAAGTTCTGGAAATGTTCTCATTCATAAACTGTAGTAAATACAATCTAAATTATTCCTAGATAAGGACATCTGCAAATCAGTCAGTCATGGCTGTGAACATCTTTGTGTTAGTAATGATGATTCATACACTTGCCAGTGCCAGGATGGATTTGTACTAAGGCAAGATGGGAAAACATGCCGAAGTAAGTAGCTTACAAACAAAACAATAAATATCATTTTCCTTATATTCATAATGACCAGAATGGAATATTATTCTCTATAGATCATAAGACTTCTGTGAAATATTGTTTGAACTAAAAATACATTTCAGAAAAGCAGCCAATTTCAAGCTTTGAATGTAGCTTTTAAATTTGAACGTCATTTCTAGATTATGTTAACTTGTTCCTTAGTTAACCGCTTAACATGTTCTTTTGTAAATGATAAACAAGATGAAACTCCTTTTCTAATCTTTTCGTAAGTCTTTTTTCGCTCCTCTAAAGTCTCTGCTATTTATCAGCATCCTTGTGAGAGCACCACAGTGGTACAAAGTCTTCCAATGGGAGACAGAGCAGGGTCTAGGGTAGAACTGTAACTCACCTAGTTCTTATTAAAATCTACCTATCTTTTCTTTATGACCAAAGATAGCATGAATCTGTGACCAAAATATTCTGCTAGCAGTTGCATTCAGTTAATTATCTACTGTGCTCATCAGTTGTTTAAGACTGTCAGTCACACAGATGTCCTACATCTTGTAAGCACAGCCTTTATTCTTTGTTTCTAAATGGATAAGCTTAGTTATGGCTGTTTGGAAATGCAGATGATATGCTGTTACCTAGGTTATACAAACACGGCTGTCTCCTTGTATCAGCAACTCCTCTATTTTTATTTGCCATTCTCTCAAAACTGGAGTAGCCTACAAACATTGTCGGTGACTATTTTGCATTTTCTTTGGGGTTGTTTATAAAAATGTGAAGCCATAGCAGATTCTTAGAAAGAAAGCTGCTTGATGTTCCCCCATTTACAATTTATTCTGAAGAACCTCTCTAGGCAGTGTTAATCCATATAATGTTGCTTCTTTTGGCTGTTTTCTTAAAATAAATAAGACTGCTGCCTCACTGAATGCTCCATTGTATGAACAGCATGAGCTTTATGAAGCAGCCTCATGATCAATTAAAAATTACATTTATCTAGTTTTCCAGGATCTATTATTACATAACACCGAGTTGATTGATATTATCTTTCTTTGAATTTACTCTGAATCAAGTTCCACATTATCTATTTCATTATTCTAAGCTGACAGGCTTGCAATGACCTACTCATCCTTTTCAGACACTGGAACAGTAGTATTTTTTGGGAGGGCATGTACACACTGGTGATGGAGACTGCTTAGTGTTCTGAGACTTCCTCAGAGTTCTAGGAGTTACTGAAAAGTAACACTAAGCATCCAAGGTGTCCTTCAACCCACGCTTTTACAACTCCTCGCTGCAAGTTATTTGGAGTTACTGATTTAAAAATGTGTGTGTTCAGTAGGTGCTGTGTGACCTGCTTCTCAGCTGATGAAACTTCAGTCCAACAATATTATCAGTAGCCTATTTCATAAGTTCCGATCTGCATATACTAAATATTTTTAACATTTCTGAATTCAGGTTGTCAATTTTACTATTTCTCTCTAATAATCAACAATACATTATTAGAACACTTTTTGTTCCCAATAGTCTTTAAATAACTTAACTCATACTATCTTTTATTTTGTTGCACTCCCTTGTCCTTGTTATTTCAGTGTTTTCAAATACATAATATTTTCATGTTCAGTAAATACTGTGAATGTTCCTTTACTTTCAGTCATTACTCAAATCTTATAGCTGTTTCCAATTTCACTTTCTAAATGAGGTCGCTTCTTAACTACTCTGGCATTCTTTTTAGATTATGGGACTACTTTTGGCGGGGGGAGGGGGGCAGTTAGCTCAGTCAGTTGAGCGTGGTGCTGATAACACTTAAGGTCGCGGGTTCAATTCCCACTCAGTCCCCACGCGTTGCCTGAACTAGTCGAGAGGTGGCGTCCCTGCCCACGACAGGGAGTTTGGATTAAATGATCTCTAAGGTCCCTTCCAGCTTAGGCCATTCTATGATTCTATGAATAGTGCAATCATTCACTTTTTAATTCTTTTTATTATTATTATTTCCCTCCCTTCCCAAAATACACTGGCTCATATTTGCTTTCAGCTATGTAAAACATCCTTTTGAAGTAATAGCGGTGTCTGCTGCTCGTTAGTATTTGATTCTGTTTATAAACACCAGATGTGTCTGAGTTGCACACAGCTGTGTATAAGCAGATGCTAATTTTTGCTTACATGATGATTTCTTCTTTATCTGCTACAATGGGATCTGGTTTAGATTGCTGTGTCTTACATGTAATGCTTGTCGAGTGAGAAGATTTTCCTCTGTGGTAATTTTTGGAATTTTTGTATTGGCAGCATGAAACTTCAAGGTAATTTGGCTCAGATTGAAGTTCTTGTAAAAATGCAAGGTTTTCTTCCTTATACATTAAACCTAAATATTTTGCTGTAGAGTCTGAACTTGACTATCAGTGCAGTTTACTTTCTGTGTAAAAGTAGTTCTGTATTATGAGTTGGGAAGTCCCTGGAGAGGGACTTTTTACAAGTGTCCAGCGATAGGATAAGGGAAAATGGATTTAAATGGAAGGAGAATAGGTTTAGATTGGATCTTAGGACGAAATTCTTCAGTACGAGGGTGGCAAGACTCTGGAACAGATTGCCCAGAGAGGTTGTGGCTGCCCCCTCCCTGGAGATGTTCAAGGCCAGGTTGGATGAGGCCTTGAGCAACCTGGTCTACTTCAGGGCAACCCTGCCCATGGCAGGGCGGTTGGATTAGATGACCTCTAAGGTCCCTTTCAACCTAAGACATTCTATGATTCTATGAATGTTTTCTTTCCTGTTGCAGTGAAGAAAAAACAGGGTATCATGAGAGATGGCTCCACTTCCTTCTGTACTTTCTCCTCTTCATTCTTCTTGAAAAGGTTTCAGCCAACTGGTTTTAACACTGCAGTGGTGCAAATACTCCCATTATTTTCAGTAATACCAGTTAGATTTTATTTATCCTCCTAAATGAGTAGTTCCTATTTTTCTGGGGTTTGTTTATGCAGACTCCTGGCACTGATGTAAGGATGTTAAAGATCTATTTTGCTTCATGCCCTGTGGTGTTTTGCTTCATTTTGTTTTTACTAGCATGAATTTGTGCTAAATGACTGTGCTAGATTTTTCCTTCCTTTAACTCTTCCTGCTCTTAGTGTAAAGTCTTCCTCCTTAATCTAGTCAGATTAATCCTAAAATGTTTTCTTGTCAATGGGAGGCCATGCAAACCGTGCAGTTCTTTCTGCTCTCATGGTAAAAAAGTCATGGTCTCCGTCAACTAAGCTACCTATCATTTAACTAGCCAGAGATTTGCTTTCAGTTTGCAGGCTTTTATCTTTCTTTGCTCATGGGATTACCCTCACAGTCTTTGCATTTATTAAAAAAAAAAAGTTTTACTAGGCAACCACCTTAAATATTATCTAACTATTCCCAGGCAAGGATATTTGCAAATCAGTCAGCCATGGCTGTGAACATGCTTGTGTTAATGCTGGTGATTCATTTGTTTGTAAGTGTCAGGAAGGATTCCTGCTAAGAGAAGATGGAAAGACATGCAAAAGTAAGTAGTCAAATATTTATCAGCATACTTCTTATCTGCAGTTCATGCTTGTGTAGAAATGCATTAACCAGCAAGAGCTGTCATCTGTTTTCAGATAAAGATCTTTGCAAATCAGTCAACCACGGCTGTGAACATGTTTGTATTAATACTGATGATTCGTATATCTGCAAATGCCATGATGGGTTCCTACTGAGAGAAGATGGGAAAACCTGCAGAAGTAAGTAGCATGAGAACATAATTTGATGAATTGCACATATAATCAAGGCCTCTGCTGATGTATGTTGACTACCAACTCTTCTGTTTGTAGACAAGGATGTTTGCAATTCAGTCAACCACGGATGTGAACAAATTTGTGTGAATACTGAAGATTCCTACACCTGCGAGTGTCATGAAAAATTCATACTGAAAGAAGATGGAAAGACATGTAGATGTGAGTAGTCTGAGCTATAAAAGTATGTTTTTATTTGAGGCTTTTAAGTGTGGCTGTGAGTATTTGCATGTGTGTGTGTGTGTTTGTGATTTCCAGCTATTTGGGCTGGTTAATAAAAGATACTATCTCACCCTGATGAACCTCACTCACAGACTCCATCCATTCTTATTAGATAAAGATGTTTGCAACTCAGTTGACCATGGCTGTGAACAAATTTGTGTTAATACTGATGATTCCTTTGTCTGCAAGTGTCATGAGGATTTCATACTGAGGGAAGATGGAAAAACTTGCAGGAGTAAGTTGTTTAATCTTTGTTTGGTACTTCCTGGTTTGTAAATGAAACACATTATGCAACAGTATTGTGTTATTTGTATCTTTAATATAGAAGCAGCTTCAGGAACTGAGCTCCTTCGTGGAAGATTATTGCCATAATTTTTACATTTTGTGAAAGGTATTTACCTAGGAAACTGTGCTAAATATACTTTTCATTATTCCAAGGTAAAAATATCTGCAAAACAGTCAACCATGGTTGTGAACATGTCTGTGTTCCAACTAGCGATTCATATACATGTCAGTGTCACGAGGGATTTATACTGAGGCGAGACAGGAAAACATGCAGGGGTGAGTAGCTGAAACTTTTATGGGGAATATGTTTTTTTCAGTCATAAAGGAAATAACAGACTTAATTTCACTCAAAGCTTGTTCATGCCACTTTTGCATTTGAGAAATGGTCTAATGAGGAAATTCTCTTAACAATTCTCAGATAAAGACCTGTGTAAATCCATTGACCATGGCTGCGAACATGTGTGCATTAACAATAACAGTTCATACAGCTGTCAGTGCCGTGAGGGTTTTGTCCTGCGACAAGATGGGAAAACATGTCGAAGTAAGTAACTCAGTGTGTCTGTCAGCCACTTTTCTCTGGCATTGCAACGTAAACAAAGATGTTATACTCCTTTGCCAGACATTCTTCATATATCATGTTTGGAGTCTTTGAATTTATAAATATGTTAAATAGAATACATGTGAATATTTCAATTTTTCCTAGGTAAAGATGTCTGCAAGTCAGTTGCCCATGGATGTGAACATATTTGTGTCAATAATGATGATTCATACATCTGTAAATGCCAGGAGGGATATGTATTGAAAGAGGATCAGAAAACATGCAGAAGTAAGTACTTTTTATTTAGAAAATTTCTTTGATTTCTAAAATTACTTGACCTCACTTCAAATGCCTCACTTGAAAAAATATCTTGCTTCAAAAATATTATAATATGTGAAGTGTGATGGAAAATGTCTTGAACAATTAACTTGATGTTCTCGTAATAAAAATTAGCAAATTGAAACAGTTGTTTTGGCATAGCATCAAGTACAATAATAATTCTTTCCAAACATCAGGAAAAAAGCCAAAGCAAAATCTTATTATCAAGGAACATGCACTTTAATCACATTCATATACTGTGGAGCTTTTACCTTTGTATACTCCATTTTAAAATGCCACTAATTCTATTTGCTTATCTTCCAACATGATGTGCTTAATGACATTCATTTAACTTATCACTCCTTAATACTTGGAGCAGAAATTCTTCCAGTGGGACTCAGCAAAAACATTTATTTTGCAAAAGTAGATGCTTAGCTGGGGAGACAATCATTGCCAAAAAAACGGTAACATGTTCATGATGGATCTCAGACCTAACTAAAACCATTCACCACGAACTGCTGCCCTGCCTTGACTTAAAGAGTGATATTGAGATGGTTCTGATAGTCATACTCATGGCATTCCCATTGCCTTATTATGTGTGACACATCTTTTTCTCAGAAGATTGCAGAAAGAAATTCTTGAACATCAGTTTTAAAGTAGAGCTATTGTCTAAGAAGAAAAGTCCAAGTTTTAAAGCTGAAAATTCCTGCACTGACTTGGTAACAGATATCTTCAGTAATTTCTGCAATCAAAGTGATTTCTGCTGCATGGTTCTCTCTTGTATAGTGCTTACAGCATTCTCAATGTACAAACATCAGAGATGAGCGGAGGTCAAATTTCATTTGTTTCAGACTAAGATGCAAAACTTACATTCCTTAGTATGACTAATTCTCTTTGGAAGCTACACTGATCAAATAGGAGCTGAGCATCTCCGCAGCCAAAAGCATACGAGCCTATGCCTGCTGGAGGCAATTGCTTTCTGGAATAAAAAAACACCTGGGAGAATCAGTTGGCAGCTTCAAAGACATTTTCCAGTCCCTAAATTCCCTAACCTTGTCAGGGAGATACAGTGCCTGCAAACTGCTTCAATTTGTGGGTGCAGTTGCCAAAACATATGTGAGCTCCAAATTTGTCAGTCTCCTGACAAACTGAGCTTTAATAGGCAAGCCAGAAAAGGTTAATTTCAGCAATACATAAGCCTTCTAACTACAAAATTGTTAAGAGATGTACGGGCAAAAAAAAGAAACGTATAAACAATTCTCGTCCATGTTTAGCAGCTAGGCACATTTCTAGCATTCACTCCCTCACCTATAACTTTTTTGCTGCTTTTCTGCCACTAGAGGTTTATGTTTGTGCTGTAAACATACATGCCGTGTCTGAATTTTGTCCCCAGGCTGGAACCTCATCCTAAGCTCTAGGGCAAGCTACCTAACGCTTCTCTCCTCTATCAGCCTTCCCCAAGCTCTTTGGTTTTTGCCTCACCATTCCCTGCCACGCTGACTCCTAGCTTTTCACCTAGTACACAAGCGTGGCTTCACTGACTCATTTCTTTGTACAACCTTTACCTTTTTGCTACTTCTGCAAGATAAATGCAGCTTCAGTGATTCCTTTCCATGTCTTTCAGCACTGGTCATCTACACAAATGTAAAGTTAGCATACTGGAATGACAACTCTGTCTCTGTAGCCTAGCTATGTTCTTCAGTTACACAGTTCTCTTCACGTCGAAGTAATTCTTAAAATTTGCTGGTTGTTGCTGTATTTTTAAGAGTTGTAGTATTCTTCAAAGCAGCACGTCTCAGTGAGTATTCACTGTGATTGTGTTTTTATTAAACTCTCAGTCGTATGAACACTTTTAGCTTTTGATATAGAACGTACACAGCATCTTTAGACACACTGGCAAAGTCGGATGAGCCAGGAACAAGGTATGCTAGATGATCTCTCAACTTATAATAAGTCCCTGAGTACCTAGGTCCCTTTTGCAGCTTTGTTTTTTCATAATTTTTTCAGTTTTTTCCTGATGTGAACACTGTTGCTTATTTCACAGGATGCACTGAAGGCCCACTTGACCTGGTGTTTGTGATTGATGGATCAAAAAGTCTCGGAGAGGATAATTTTGAAATTGTAAAACAATTTGTCTCAGGAATCTTGGATACACTTGAGATTTCCCCCAAAGCTGCTCGAGTTGGTTTGCTTCAGTATTCCACTGAGGTTCGCACAGAGTTTACGTTAAAGCAGTTCAGCTCAGCCAAAGACATGAAGAAAGCTGTATCACAAATGAAATACATGGGGCGAGGTTCCATGACAGGACTGGCTCTGAAGCAAATGTTTGAGAGAAGCTTCACAGAAACGGAAGGAGCAAGACCATTTTCAGCAAATGTCCCTCGAATCTCCATTGTGTTTACGGACGGACGAGCCCAGGATGAAGTCTCTGAGTGGGCTGCTAGAGCAAAGCGACACGGTAAGCAGAGATGTTTCTGACTCATTCTACAAGGCAAATATGGCTCGAAATAAGATGTGGTAGTGGTATAGATGTACTGTAGTATGTGCTAATCAAGACTATTATAGAATAGTCTGCAAAGACCCTCCTGCTGAGTCGTGAGGTTCAGACTGGACCCCCTTGCTTTCTAAACTTCCTCACAGCGAGGAGTCTAGGTGCAGCTGGATCCAGTCCTAGCCCCCAGCTGTAAAGAAGAGTTCAGACCCCAGGTTCTGCCACAGAGTCAGTTTATTTCAGCTTGAGCTGAGACCCTCCAAGAGGGACCCCAGACACAGAAATTCCCCAGGCAATTAGACCCAAGTTCACCTCCCCTCCTGCAATGGTTCTGCCCAATAGTAGTATTTGGGTCTGGGGTCATCTTGTTCCTCTCTGGATCCTTTCTTGCTCTCCAGGTGGGCATTCTTTTCTTTATCTCGAGGGTGCAGTTTCTGTTGATCTTATCTTTCCCAATTAGCATTGGTTTCTGGGCCTTTCTTTAGCCTGAGCTAATCAGTACTTAGGTAAAAGTCCACAAGGCTTCAGTAAGCCTAAGGCTTCAGTAAATCTGGCTGCTGCTAAACAATGTCACTCATGAGACAAAACAAATTGCAATTCATGGTAATTTTAAGCAATCCCACAATTAATTCTAATATTCTACAAATAAACTATTCTAGTCTCCAACAAAGAGAGTGTTTGCCATAGCAGTGAGGCTAGTGGTATGATGACAGCTGTAACAGAACATCGCGTCTTTGGTGTTCACAGGAACCTTTGCTACAAGGCATGTACCCACGATGAGTGTCTCACCAGTGGGGTCTGTGCCACCCACAGGTAGTGGTACTACCCACCCGGCATGCCCTGAACATATCCACTACGGGCAGGCATTTGATAGAGAGATTTGGAAACACTGGGAACTTTATCAAAAATTCTAAGAAAACTATTTAAAAGAACCCAACTCATCTCTTCAAAATGCAGAAATCTATCCTTCTGTGTTTTGGTCTGAGCTAAACAGAAGGAATTCTGTTCAGTGATCTTACTCTTCTAAGAAACAGCGCTTTCTGAAGCTAACAGCATGTTTTTGCAGACAATGTCTGCTACTAGAAGTGATAATAACGCCGCATGTTAATAGTTACTATCAGGGATTTTTATGCAGGAAGGCTCTTGCTTATACTTGCTCCTGTGGTAACGAAGTTCATTAGTAAATCTTGTGTATTATGTTGAGGGTGCTGGGAGGTAAAAGGGGCTACAGAGAGGTAAAAGGGGCCACAAGGAAGTAAAAAGGTTACACCTCCAGGGAGGTTTCGCACAAGACAGGTGACCTAAACCAGACCAACAGAAGTATTCCATTCCATATATGTCATATTCAGTATAAAGTTGGGGGATCAGGGGGGTTAAGCCCTCTTCTTCAATGGCTGATGTCTGAGGAGGGCTCTGTCTGATCTTCAGCCCTTGAGCCTGATCCCGAGTTCCTGAATCCAGCTCCCGTATCTCGTTCCCCTCTGCTGCTGAGCCTGGGACTACCCAGTGCTGCCTGCTCTGCAGCATCAGTGGGGATTGCTGTGGGGGGACGGGGGGGCTAGCTGTGTTCGGTATTGGCTTTGTGTATATTCCATTATTTTTGTTATTTCCTTGTTAGTACTGTTATTGTTTTATTAAAGCTGTTTTAATTTTCTTTTCTAATCCATAAATCTCTTTGCCTTACTCCCTTTTGCTTTTGGTTTTGGAAAGGAGAGGAGTTAATAGAGAGAAACCGTAATTCGTTTAGTGGCCGGCACAAGCCTAACCCTTGACTTCCAGAGAAATATAGTAATAATCGGTTATACATTTTTACATATATTCTGTATTTGTAACCAATTTTGTAGTGATGATGGTGTTCCGGAAAGAAGATGGGTCCTCTTTACCGAAGGATATAGCTGTAGTGCTGTCTCTCTGTTTCTATGTGCCTTATCAAGTGATATGCTGACGTATCATTGAAAAATTGTGATTTTTAATTTAGAAAGTATGTAGGCAGAAATCCATCCTTTAGGACAACTGTACCAGGCATCAGAAACTTTTGAGCTATTTAGCAGGCAATTGGAAAAAATCCAAACTTTTCAAGAGAATAAAAGATCCCTTCCTTCTTGCAAAATATTCCCTAAGTTATAAGAAACTGCTTTAAGAACTGTGGCTGATGGCCCACAACACTAAGTAAATAGGTAGATTTTAGAAGATGCTGTTCTTATTTCATTGACTTGATATATCAGTCATAACTTGATACGTGATTAATATTGCGATTGTCAGGGCTGCTAACTCTCTGCAAGCAGAAAAGGGAAAAATGTCCAAGGATCTGAGAAGAGCATGTGATAACAAGGGTGCTGTTACAAGGAAATATAAACAAAGTGGGGGAGGTTAAATATTAAAAATAAAAGGAAAGATTTATAAGTTAACTAGTGAGATCTGGGAAAGTACTTGGCGGATTTACAGGACTGAAGAAGGAAAGAAATACAAGCCAACCTTGCTTACTTGCTGAATGAAACCTCAGCTCCGGACTGCTTACACTGATATTTGTAACACTCCAAGCCAAATCCATCCCCTGTGTAATTGCAGCATAGGCAATGTAGTAATGCTGAATATGAAATTGGCCTTAAATGCTTTATCACTGATATCTCCAAGTCTTTAAAAAGCAACAGACCTCAGCATGACTGGTCCATTCATTAAACTGAATCGGCTTCTGGTAGATGTTTTACTTACCTGGCTTAAGTGCAGCGGTAGGCAGATTCATGAGGAAAAGTAAGGAGATGCTTACGTTAAATGTTAAATAGTTGGAAAAAGTGTATTTTATGGCATTTTAAGGCCTAGGGTTCTTCAGCAAAAAAAATGCTCATGTTTTCCTTCCATGGAGGAACAAGGACTTAAAACTGCTCATGTAATAATTATGTGCAATTTCTTTTAAATCTAGGTATAATTATCTATGCCGTTGGAATAGGGAAAGCAATTGAGGAAGAACTGCTGGAAATTGCTTCTGAGCCGTCATACAAACATCTCTTTTATGCTGAGGATTTTACAGCTATGGAGGACATCAGTGAAGAGCTTAGAGCCCAAATCTGTGAAGGTAACAGTATTCCACTTTCATTAAGGTAGCAGAGGAATGAATGCTCATAGATCTTTTGCAGGCCTCAAAGGACAACTACTATTATAATACAGGTCACAGATCATCAGTGTCAGACATTATAAGGCATGAATCACAGTAATTTTTCTGCCCTTTCATCTGTAAGGAATATATACCCTTAATCTGTCGTCAGGTAAAGGTATATAATTGTCTTTATTTTTATGAAGGTTGTATAAAATGTACACTTCAGTGCCCAGAAGCATCAATTGCTCCCTCTCCTTTCTGCAGTTAAGTCAGGCATGTACTGAATCCCACTCAGCCAAGAAAGCGTGATCTGAATCACTAGGAATGTGGGAAAACGACATAATGTCTTAATGAGAATAAAAAATTACTCTTAAGACCAGTGGCAAAACCCTAAACCACAGCAAATCATCAAGAGCCATTGTGCGTATTTATAGAAGCCTAAAAATAGTTAATTGAACGCACACTCCCAGCCACAAAGAGTGCATCTCAGTTATGTGTAAGCTCCAAATTCTGCTCCACAAATGGGGAAGGTTTGTTCTAGAAAGCAACCTTCCTCGTTCTGGCACAAACAGCATCTATATAAACATTCCCAGCCGAAGTTTTGCAAGGGGAAGGGGGAACACAAGCTGGGACAAAACCTCTTCAGGGAGAGAGAAGACAGCACGTCTCTCCTACTCACACGTTCCCAGGACTGAGCACTATTTGTACATTCAAACCGGTACCTGAAGCAAAATTCAGAAACACCACCGTATCAGGCATAGCGCTAGAGTTGTGCAAGATGATTTAATTTTCATTGGCTTTTATTTGGTTGTTTTTCTTGGAATTAAAGGCTTTTATTTTCTTCTTTAATGTTACTGTATAAAATTGTCTGGCAAGCAGCAGTGCATCTCTTCCCCAGGTCAAAGAATAAGCTGGAAGAAAAAAATTGGAGGAGGTTTCCTAGCTTGCATATTCTTTGTTTTTCTTGGTCCTAAGTCCTACTCCCATCCTTCTAAAATACAAAAATACTATGATAACATAAAACCAAGTCTGTTCAATTAACCTTCTTATTAGGCAGATAAGCTGCTGCTGACAGCATGTCATCTTAAAAGCTTGGGGAGATGCCAGAGCCAAAACTATCTGGCAACCGGTATAATAATTCTCACTCATTAGCAAACCCCAGAGCTCAGTGATGGAAATGCATCCTTCAGGTACCCACAGCAGTGTTTAGCAACGACGATTTTCTGGTTTTTTATTTATTTCTTTTTAAACTACATTGCTTAGTATATGAAAAATAAGTAAATCCTGCCCCTTTGTGGCAGTTTCTAGACTACATCTCTCATAACTGGGCAGAGCTGGCACCTCTAAGCTTCCCTCCTCTCACCAAGAGGCAGTGCCTCACACCTGTCAACTGAGCACTGACCCAGCCAT